CCCCAAAACCCCAAAACCCCACATGAATCTAATTACGGAGATTTGAAGTAATGCTATTATTCCAATTATATAATGTTTGAATCATATATCATATAATACTATTTATAAGGGTTACAATTCAAATCAGAGCAGCAAAAATATCAATATGACTAATTGTGCTTCTTTTGAAACTCGTGAGGTATGAGTAATGAGTCTGCGCTTGATTATTATTCGTAATAGAAATTCTTATGATCTCCTCTTGAGGATTAACTATCTTTACTTATCGTCACTCTTTAGTTTGGCCTGCCACTGATGTAGTTTTCATTATTTGGATTTTCACTGTTCTGCCTGAATGTATTCATTCCCAAATGTGTAGGCTAAGGCTGCCCAATGTAGCTATGAGTAAGGTCTGACTAGTCATACTTTTCTTTCTCATTCACAACTAAATTATTAACTAATTGCTCTGAGGAATCTATTGCTTTAGTTACTGTCTACTTCTAATGATTAACTCTATTGTTACTGTTCTTATTATTTAAGTATTGGAAAACAAAAATGAGAGCTAATGGAAACTCCTCCCCAAAAAATAAAAGGAAGAATATAACAATAGAATAGCCAGTCATTTGATTTTTTTAGAAAGATTACATTTAATCATAATTTGAAGCTTAGTATAAGTTGAAAATAAGTCTATAGAGGTATGAAAAAGAAAAAAATCCAAGAATGGAAAGCATCTAAATTTTCTCATTAAAATGAGTGCCCTTGTATTTTTTGAAAACTATAAATATCAGTAAGGTAGTACTGGAGCATAGGAATATGAAGGTAAAACTATATAATATGCCAACGCAAATGGAAACACTATAAAAGTTCAAAAATATAATTATACTCTTTTTGCATGTTATCTTTCTCTGCTTATGATATTATATCGTCTGCTGGATTTTATTCTTTATACATGTGAATTAGCTCTATCGTGAAGTATAGATTAGATGCGATTGTAGAGAGCATCATGAATATTACTACAAACAGTTTAAGGATGTTAGCAATCCTCCTCTTTTTAGAGTAAGTCATATTATTTAGCTTTATGTTTTGGAAGATTAGATCTATAATGCACATTAAAATACAATCTCCTGTCAACACATATGTAAAAGTAGGCAGCTTAGATAAAATTTAATAGCTTGCTGATTTAGAATACCATTATTGTGTATTGTTATCATAGATATAAGAAAGATCAAGGATCTCTTGGATAGATCTACCTAAATTTACAAATTATAAAATAAAGCTTATACAAAGTAGCGTGAGAACAGCGAATAGATAGAATGCCAAAAGTAAAAAATTCTAGTATCTACTTGATTTATAGAGAACTTGATAGATATTGAAACACCCATAACATGTTACTCCAACATACAATATTGCATGTGTGATTGTCACCCAAATTTGAGTATCTTCTAAAGTCTAATCCTCTTCATCTACTTTCTAAGAATAGGTATAATCTGATGCAACTCTCATTAAATTTGATTCCATTATAAGCCAAAGTTATAATAATTAATTTAGATAATTGTGATACTTATTTTAGTACTTATTTAGACTCATGGGGTTTTGGGGTTTTGGGGTTTTGGGG